TGCCAACTCCATTTGTAATTTAAGATATTTGACCGTTAATTTTGTTAGTAACTATTACGTTTAGTGCTTGTTGCTTAGGTCAAAATGACGTTCCCGACAAATCTCAACAGCACTTCTTAGAACTTCATGTAAATACCTATACTAGAAATAGTGTTAAATATAGTTCAGCGATTCTCTCTCGCTGATTAGATGTCGCTGTGTTTGGATGGGTCAGAATTTTGTTTTATTATTTTAGTTAGAGTTTTATTTTATGGATGTCCATAGATTTTAACAATAAACGCGCTAGTCTAGCGAGCTCCATCGCCCATAAACTTTTATTGTAGATTTCGCCAAATGGGAGTGTGTCCGTGAGTCTATAATGGGCACTATTAGCATACTAATCTCTTCTAGTTAGTGTCGTATCGGGTGCGCATATCGTGCGCAACGCACAGCGCCCGACCGACGGCTGCGCACGGTGACGCGGTGTGCGTGTAGAAAGTCCTTTATCCCTGCATGGCTGCAGCCCGCCACTGCCCTGTCTCGGAGAACTTAATGGCCCAATTCTATGTTACACATTCACCATTTATCCGAAATGCACTCAAACTGCTCCTATCGGGGACAAGGGATTTCACTACAAACCTAAACATAGTCGGATGTCTTTACATAACACCGTAAGTTTGTGACGTACAAGAAAACCAGCAGTTTGGTGAAGGAGTGTGCAGTCCGCTACAGAAATAGGGCGAGTAAATTTATATAACATTAGCAAATTACAATTTCAACAGTATCGTAAAAGTATTACCTCGTTCTACAATAGAATAGTGTAGGTCATAAATTGTAAAATGACTATGACACGTCTAAAATAAAAAGTGTGGTAGAGACATAGTGTTTACAAAACTTAAAGTAACTTAGAAATGTGTAGTTTAAAAATAATAGACACTAGAATAGAGAAATAGACAACGAAATAATTCATTAAAACATAATGTAGCATTTTTCCGGCAATAAAAAAAACATCAAAATAGAAGTACTTATTTCTAAATAGTATTGAATTAGAATTCAAAGAAACGGGCGATTTCTGTAATTTAGCGAAGCTTCCAAATTGAGTAGTTTAAATTGTAACAAATTCAGTGATATTGTTAAAGAATAATTTATAGCGTTTTGAATAAAAGTTGACTGTAGGTAGATAAGTAAGCGATTAGATAGACAATTTGTTGGTACAATGATATAAAATTGTGATTGGTGGTGCAAACTCTTTTAATAGTTATATTTTATTGTTTAGTTCTAAGACTTACATATTTAGTATAGAATATTTTATTGTAATTTATATATTTTTGAGCCTTAGGCCAATTGTTATTATAGAAATTATTAAAACGTTGGAAATATCCAAGAAATAACTTGCTGCTAGTATAGTCAAAGTCCTAAACTTTTAATATGTTATATATAGAATAGAAAGATAATTATATAAGCTGCAGTAGACTGTAGAAGTAAGCGGGACATCCGCCAGTTTTATAATTTGACCACATGGGTAGAAATATAATTTAAATTGAAGAGTTTTAGCAATCGTAGAAGAATTATTTGATACAGTTGTGTATAAGAATGTGTGTTTTATCAAAATTAATATTTCTAAACTTCATTTTGCTTCTTTTAATGTCGCTTTACGTGTTTTTTCTCTTATTAATACTTGCGTCTGTGACTGAACCACGAATCGTAAAAATGGGGGCCCTGTTCGATCACGACTATGTAAACACCTAGCCGAATGAGGCAGCAACCCGCAGTAAAAGGTTCCTCGGCGGAGATTTAAAGAAGGGACATGCGTCTCCTTCTTTGAATTACAAATCTGAGTGCGGGCGCGTGCGTGGCACCCCGGTGGTCGACAGCGAGAGCATAGAAATTCGATTAATTTGCAATTGAGATAAGTCCCAGCGGCTAAACGATCGAAAACCCGGAAAAGCGTATCATCTTCCTGGCGAGTTATTGATGGTACCTATTAAATATACGTTTAGCGTAGTGCGAGATGTGTACGGGAACTGCGATCTCTCGTAAACGCTCAAATAAAACATTTCAATCGTGCCAAGTGGGAAATGAAGTATTAGGATCTCGTAGGTGAGCGATGCGAGTATCAAACTTTAGATATGGGAGTATTTTCCTACCGAACTTCGCTAATGGGCGTTCGTAACATACCACCCGCGGTGAACATATTGTTTATTAATCATTCACCTTTTTTACACGTTTAATTTTTTATTCAAGGGTGTTTTGATTGTAATTCAAAGTCAATATATAAACTTTTCCTATCGACATCGGATTTGTAAACTAACGAGTACAGTGAATCAGTATTTTGCATCTTAATGCTTGTTTTCAAAACCGAATATTTCCACACGGGAGTTTGAAAGAAAAAGAAAAATGTTGGACACAAAAAGGCACGCGTAATATAGTATATTGAAGGGCGCGCCTTACGCGAGTATGCCCCGTGAATATTTCGTTGGGCCGTCATCCTACTTCTGAAGAAGAATTATTAAGTTTCCTCGAACTTCGCAATTATGAAAGTTCGAATAGCTCTTTTGGAAGACGGCCTCTGAATTTATAGATGAGTGTGTGCTCTTTCCGAAAGGTAGGACACGTAGTTTCGAATTGTACCTGGCTACGTATGGACTGCAAAATAGAATAGAACTAGAAGTTAAACAGTAATACTTTAGCTTTTATTTACGAAGTACTAAAAGCGGTTAATAAAAACAAATACAATTACTAATACTCTAAAATAAAACGATAATTATATTACAAAAATCGGATTGATTGATTGATAATATATCAGTCATTCAATCCGATTTTCTTTTATTATTGACATCAACGACTACGACAATAAAACCCTAACAAGTATATCTTCATTACTTACACTAAAAGTCCGACTTATATGGTCCTACGACTCTAAAAAGTTCGTTAAGTAGCATGCATTTTTTATAACTAATAAACTGACATAAATCGATTGTACAACTTTGTTACAACACTATTTCCTCTAATAACAACTTTTCAGAAAAAACTGGAATCCATTGGAGCTTATAGTTCATTATCTTTATTTATACTTTATTATTTTATTATAGGTCGAGGAGCTGTATTTATATGACATCTTAACACAACAATAATAATAGTGTAATGAACACAAACAACTTTATTGCTGCCTTAGACGTATTCAAGAAACTTGAGATGTTACAACCCTGACGTACAAATTACATTGAAAATATGTGTTATAAAGCTGTAATAGAACCAAGTTAGTGTCGGCCACAGATATGACCGTTGAAACTACGGGATAACTACAGAGTTGCTGTCTCGCCCGCTTGTAAACTGAATTGTTTAAGTCGTAAATAATTTGAGGTCAGAAACACGCCTCGACTCAAACTAAGTTGGGCCTGTTTGTGACTTTGTTTCCTCTGAACTTGCCTGTGAAGCGTGATTGAAACTATAAACGTGTTATGTTTGCTATCCGTGTACAATCTCTATGTAGACCTTGTTAATATTAAACATCTTAAATGTATCCGTAGTGATTGGCCATGTACTAGAAATTACACAAACACTTCCAATTTAAGAATAAACTAGAAACATTTTTGCGAAAAATCTCAATCAATTAAGTAGGAGAGCTTGCCAACGCCCACCCGGTAATGGGAAAAGAATGAACTCGCCCGATCGACACATTAACGACCGCAAGACGTGTCTGCGGCACCACTCAAATTCTTATTTATTACACGGCGATCCTCAAATAAATAGCCTCTCACACCGCAAAGTAATGTTATTAAAATGTGTCAGCATTTTAGTGGTGAACCAAGGGGTAGCGCGAGCGAGAGCGGGCGCACGGACAAGCGCGCGCACGGAAGCGGGATGGGTGGCCGCGGCGCCATCTATCATTCATCCTCCATTACTTATATTGTACTTTTTTCGCAAAGTCACTCGCAGGCCGGTAATCACCTGGTGCGACCGCGGACCTCCATTTTTCACACTAAATCATAACTCGCGCATCTGACAAAAATAAAATTTGTCGTACAAGCCAATAGGGCTAATGGTGACACTATGAGCAAGCAGAAAAGAACGAACGAATATTAATCTACCTCTTGTTAGAATTTTGGATTTAGATCCTATTTTTCAATAACAAAAGATAAGTTTTAGTCGTTTTGCATAAGATTTAGATTAAGAAACACAACGCCGACTTATAACTTGTCAGTACTAAGTAATTTATGTATGCTATGAGTTTTTGGAGTCTTGCTCATTATCATACATATTGCTATCTACGCGATTCCTTTATTTTTAGTCGATACACGCAAAATGCTGGTCAGGATTTATTTACGGTTTGGGCATTATTTTATAACCGATGGGTTAGCTATCGGCAATGAAGTTAGCAGCATGGGCGTGGAAATATAAGGCCCACGCGTAATGCTCGCGTGCGGCATGCCGAAGGCTGGCGCCGTGCGCGGCGTGCAGCAGAGGGCCATAGACGCACGGTGGCGTAACGCGGCGTCAAGACTCGCGACGTGCGCCGTATGCTAATGCGTTTCCCTATTCAATAAGCAGACCGACGCGTGCCAGCGAGAATTCACGTCGGATAATTTACTGGATATTTTGTAAAAGTTTTTTCGCCCTCTGTGATTTATACCCGCGAAAGTTCCAACTCTCTTTTTCATTTGAATGCACGTGACATACGTGATATTTTTTGTTCCAACATAATCTGGGCCTAGGGAGTCTTCGCTGTCCTCATTCGTCAGCACGGCATCTGTCTCCAACGGCTAAATTATTCATGCATTTACGCGCTTCAACTTTATCCACGCTAGAGAACTTTAATATTGAGTTGGGATTACATCGATAGTCACTTTACCGTTCAATATGCTAAATTCAGAAAAGATGAGGTGTTGCGGGCACGGAGGCGAGACTTTTGAAATTCTAAAATTCGATGGTTCAGTCATGGATGTGTGTGTGCTATCACTAACGAGTGTGAGTGTCACTCGTGTATGTGGAGCGAATGCGAACTGTGTGTATGTTTGCAGTTGACCTGACCAACGGGCAACTCACACCGAACAACAATACACCGCTGCTCGCGCAGGCGCTCTCAGGTGAGGACGCCCTTCCTTCATACCTTCTGCTTTCCCTCATCATATCAGTGGCATACCCTTACACACACCAATCCTGAGAGAACAACCAACACTTTTAACACCAAATAACTTGGTACATGGACTGAATTCTATGTCGCTTGATGTGCTCTGTGTTATATATACATTATTTGCGTAGTTTTCTGGAATTTATTAATTATTGCCCGACCGAAACTCTTTGTAGTTGAATAAACATTGGAGTTTGGCGCTGGTTGAGATTAATGTCTATAACATACATAATGCAGGGGCTTCGTTGGTCGAGGCACACGCGGCGCGCTCACGTTTTGCCAGTGACCAGCGTAATGCTTGAGTCGAACGTGCTCGCGTCTATTACTCGGCCACTGTCATTTATCTCCCTAAACGAGAATTTATATTACACAAGCCGTCATAGTTATTCGTATGTTGATAAAATACCTTTTACCTGTAACAACGGTTCGTTAGCCGTGTTTTTTGCGCTACTGCGGCAAACCTAAGGAAGGTTATGCGTTTATACGTATGTGTACATCTCAATACCGAAAATGAAAACGTGTTCGTTTTTGGAATTATGTTGTCGTTTAAGATACGAGTAACATACTTGTAGGTAAATATGTCGCGGGTATGACTGAGCGCAACCCGCGGTAGAGCGACATAAAGCGCAGTATCTCGCGCATAAATCGCAAATAAATGACATAAATATCGCTCTCGCGCAAGTCGCGCCCTGTCGTACTAGCCCTACAGCAGACTGATTTTCGTTTATTATCGAACCATCAAACTAACGATACGAACGGCATTGCGTCACGAAGTAGTTCAGTTTGGTTTTATTGTTTTTCTAATTCTTTCTCTTTAGGTTTTTGCGATTGTTATTTCGGATCTAACTGGCGTAGCTTTTTCAAAGATACCAACGTTTTGGGTCCTACACAGGTCTCATGGTCATGGCTGACTGAAGTGGTGAAGTCAACAAAATCATCAAGTTATGTCTAATATGAAAAAAAAGGGTCGTTTGCATTAGCTTTGTTTGAAAAAGCAAATATAAGCGATTTAGATCCGAATTAATTTCAGTACAGAGTACTAAAAAAACCGACCTCAAAAGTTCGTAGAATTACATCTATTTGCCAAGTTTTATTGAAATCGGTTACCGGAAACTGCGCGAAATCGAATTCGTCCCCTAGTTTGCCACCTTCAAATTTAAATGGGTAAAATGGTTAAAATGGGTAAAGTTATCGCGTAACATTAATACAGAAAAAAACATACAGACGAATTGAGAACCTCCTCCTTTTTGAAGTCGGTTTAAAACAGTTACAATTCCTATTTATTGTTTTTCCCCAAGAATGATTGAACGTCATATAGACTTTGATGACATTGCTGGACTTGTGACAAATTTGAAGAGTCTAATGTGAGTTTTGTGTGTGTCGCCAGTGATGAACAACTATCAGGCAGCAGCAGCTGGATTTGGGCCGCCGGCGTCGCCGCACGGTGCCGGGGGCCGCGCCGGATTCCCCGCTGCGAGCTCGCCGGGCCCTGCGCTCGACGTGTATGGCTCGGCTGCAGACAGCGTCGGCTACGTCCAGGCTGCCAGTCCCCAGCCCTCCGGATTCCCAGCGATTGCAGTCAGCCGCGCGCCCCTCAATTATACCCCAGTGAGTAAATTAACCTACATAACATAATCTCAGTACAGATTACTAAGCAAACCGACCTCAAAAGTTCGTGGAATCACATCTATAGAAATCGGTTACTGGAAAGTGCGCGAAACCGGATTCATCCCCTAGTTTGCTAACCTTAGAGGTGGAATATTTTCTTCAAATTTAAATGGGACCACTGCTGAGAATCATGAAAATCGTTTCACAAATGCCGAGTTCTCGTATAACATACATGCAAAAAAAACATACAGTCGTATTGAGAACCTCTTCCTTTTTTTGAAGTCAATTAAAAAAACATGTCTTTTGAAAATACGGATCATCAGAAATCAAGCGCTTATAACACTTACTGGTTAGGATAAAAATATATTTGTGGGTCGCCAAAAGGGACGCTTATCTTAATTCTAGAGAGGAGGATATCTTATAGTATTCTCAAACATAGGTACTGAAACCACGATATGAACAAAATTCACAAAATCATTTTAATATAGGTACTGTATTGAAAGCAGAAATTACGAACTGCACCAGTGCAAAAACAAAGTTAGCGAAACGAATATAAGAAAAGTTTGATATTTTATTTCATGATGAATGGGATAAAGTTATTAACATTTGATTCTAACTTTTTTCATTTATTACGTCATGTTCAAAAATGCCTATTTCAGTAAGACTCAAATGGAGGCAATTCCCAAAATTGTCCTCGTTCGAGAATTTTCAACTGTCACGGAATTCAAATTAATGTTTGTTCTGTTTTGTTTTTCTTCGGGGCTTTTGATTTGCCTTCCAAGATGTTGAATTCATTTTTAATGTTTTGTTTTTATAATGATCGGAATTGTTTAAAATAGGATGAATAAGTTTGATGATTAATTGGTTCTCATTTCAACTAACTGATATGCGGATAAGTCGATAGTATACGATAGTCATTAGCAGTTAGTCTTAACGATGGAATGTAAGCACCATCTCAATGATGTCGACTAGTACAGGCAAATCGATGGACCGTTGAGAAGCGATAGCACCGCAACGAAATTAGCCGCCGTCGACACTAAAATTTTAGCGAGACGGTCCAATCTCATTACGGAGCCGATCTTCCTTGTCGCTCTTAAAGCATAATCACCATAAGTTAGTGAGTGAGTGAAGCGTGAGAGATGCGATTATAAAGTGTTCCGAAATACGAGCACGACAGGCGGGTGTACGGGCGTGGCGCGACGGCGGCAATCTACGTGGTGCACTGCCGCGGGTAATGGCTTTTTAAAACTGCGACCGCGCTCCATAACTGCTTCCCTGAGACGCCATCAGTCTTCATTGCATGTCGGCGCCGCAGGCAGCCAGAGCCGCATCGCCACCGAGATCTTAACTCCGCACGTCTTCGTATCTCCACCACACTTCTCAGACTGCACTCGAAACATTCATTATTTTTGGTCACTCACTTACCGTTCGTTCTTAAATAACAATTTACCGTACGTATTATTGGACAGATTTTATTATTGTATCGCGAGGCTTAAATCGAGTCGGCCGAGTGCCCTGCTACACTAAGCCACCCTTCCGTTTCAGGCGCTTCATATATCAAATGGGATATTAACTCAATCGTCCGTAATCGCCGGGGCAAAACAAATACGTCGCTAATGAGAGAATGAACGGTCCAGCCGTCGGCCGGTCCGGCGCATGTGGTTCCCGGGTGTAAAACGGTCTTATTAGGTAACGGGAATGCCCCCACGGGCAATAACCGTAAATCAAGGAGAACAAGCGGTGTAATTACCGCTGGCGAGCGGTCGCGCGCGTTGCTCTAACTCATCCACTCACTGTTTTTATTTTGTTGGCCACCGAACCGGTACCGCTCTATCGACTGCGAACACCAAACTTACTACCTTTAAATCTGCCCCAGGAGAGGTTAATGTTCAACTGAACGCTATATATATATCCATTCAATTATAACATGAAAAAACTGGTTCGATTTATTTTAAAACAGACTTTAGTTAAAGAAGATTGGTGCTATATGTATACCTCTTAGTTTTGTATAATGTAATCGACACTGTGTTATTATTATTTTTTCAGGGACCCCTGATTCCTGCGGCTTTTACCAATGGTTATCATTGAAAGTGCACAAATGTTTTACGTAAGTCTCCATTTAATATTCATTAATCAATTTATAAGAATATTATTATGAATACCAAGTGTGAAAATGTTCCTCTGAATTCCCGATTTAAGCATACAAACATTGTTAATTATTTTCTTAATAATCATTTGCTATATTTGGTACAAACGTGTGCAATTATGGAAGTAAGTCAATTAGAAACTATTGTTTGTTATTGCTAGGAGGCGAGCGGTGAGGCGTCGCGTAACGTCCCCGACGCGGCCGCACTGCCCGGCCGCCACAAGACACTCTCCTCCCCCGCCCTTTCCGCCGCAGGCGCAGCCCACTAGCGCCCGCGCCGCCCGCCGCCCGCCACGCCGGCGCACGCAACGACGACGGTCGTCTAATCCGTCCGGCCTCCGCGCGGACCGATCCGTCGACCGCGGCGTCTCAGTCTCACCACCCCAACCCACTATCCCTCCCCCCAAAACCCATGACCCCGTCGCGAGGAGACCCCTGTCTATTGTAAATACCAATAATCTAACTTTTTGTCGTGTGAACGAGAGATAGTCTATTATATTAAACAGGTATTTTTTCAAATTTTTCTCGCTTTCAACTGTACCGTAGATGTGTTGTCAGAAATAATAAACATTAAACTACAAAAAAAAATACATTTCATAATTATATAAAGCATCTAGACGATTTAATTGCAGGGAGGTATCTTAAATATTTTATTAATCATAGTTATCTTACCATTATATAAGATATAATCTACTTGTGTGTCCCTCTACGCGCGCGGGACTTTTATTTCGATAGAGGAAGAAATCGGTTTTCCTTGGCATCGACGACGGCTTGAGTCACCGCTGAGCGCGTTTGCAATAAGTACTTGGTAGGGAGGTTGCGACCTGCAGAGCAGAGCTGAGGCAGAGACGAAGCGTGCGCCGCCAGACGGGCCAGACGTTCGCCGGACGGCCAGCGCGCCGCCGGCTGGAGTGAGACAATAACGCAGGCGCACCCGCGTACGCCGCACGCCTCCTCGCTCGTCCACCAACACATATTTTATTCTATCTATTTTTAATATTATTAATGTCAAATATTAACATAATTATAATACTATATATTACGCATATTTTACCTATGAATGTAATTATTTTTGCCTAATTCGATTTGTATAAAATCACGTCTTAACGGCTGTTCCGTTTCAGTAGCGAGCAAGTTTCTCGATTACTTCCGTATATGACTATGTTAGTTACGCGTATATACATACTTTCTAATATTATGTATTATGATATAAAATTTTATCCTAAGGATAATACGGTCATATTTACGAATCATAAGAACGTTTGGGAAGCTAAGTCGGAACATTTCAGAATATCTCTCATCGCGTTAAGATAACGTTTCTATCTTATACCTTTGAACGTAGGTATTGTAATTATATAATAACAATTTTGTGCATTACGTAATAAATATTTCATTGTTTCTTACGATTGTATTTACCGTAATTTAAGACCACTGTTGAAAAAATTAAGAGGCTCCATTTTGGATGCGGAGTTACACAGTACTTAGTTGTATTTAAATTTTAATCAAGTAATAAATATAACCAGTAAACTTTCATACAGACAGTATAAACACAACACAAACATTTCAATAAACTAAAGACAGGGATATTAAAAAATACAGCCAAAGGCGCAGGTTTGAGCTAATAGTATAAATTATGAAGTCAATTCATTAATCATATTCGATAAGTACTGAGTACTGGCGACATTTATCGACCACTGTCTAGTTTGCAATATTAGCAGAGGCGCGGAATACGCATGAAGCACCGCGTAGCGCGCCGCCCGTCGTTGACCACGAACAGCCTCTACGGCCGCGTAGCGCGCTACGCACCGGAGCGCGCGCGCTACCTGGCGCCGTTCGCTACACACATGCACTCGGTTGCATTCATTCGTTATTTACAATTATAACTATTCATTACCTACATCAATTAAACATTAATATTATAAATCTAGGTATAAAATTTTAGGTAATAATAATAAACAATCTTTTAAAATGCTATTATTATATAAATACGTTATAAATATAAATGTTTCCTGTTACAAAAATATTGAAAATGATACGAAATAAATCAATATTCTTTTTAAAGGTAATTTATTACTTATGAGTATGTAGTTAATTGAATAATGGATTGTTAGTCGGAGTGCGCTCGTCGCCGGGCGGCGCGCTCGCTTCGCGTTTTTGTTCGAGCCGACATCGTCCGCTGAGTGCAGCCGCGCTGGGTGCTGGCTGTCCGCTCTCCGCGCCCGTGCCGCACCCCCGCAGGAGACGCGACCGCGATTAAGTTGTTGAACGTTAGCTAGGAAATTGATAATGAAATCGAAGGTGTGAGTCTATAGGACGGTCGGAAAATCGATATCATACCTAACAAATTAACGTAATTATTTGTTTTATATTTACGGTGTTATAGGTATTTAAGACATTTTTTCCTAGAATATTTAATTATTACGATGAGATGTTATAATTGTTAGGCCCGGGCCGGCGACGGAGCGGCGCGGCACTCCTCACCGCCGTCGGCCGTCTCATTCACTCTCACATCCTCACTATAATTATATTTTCTTACCGACCTTTTTAATGTAGGAGAAGCGCACACGGCCGCTTGTCCCCGTGCGATACGAGTACAAACAGTCAACTTATAGTGAGAGTACATTTCGCCGCGTTCGTGAGAAGCCATCGGTTCGCCGCGTTTGCACCGAAACGATATGACTCTGACACACCGTGGAATTTTCGCAAGGCTGGCATCAGCGAATTACACAGGCCGGCCTACGATGCTGCGGACTCGCTAATTCACTTTATTTACTTATTTACTCACAAGCCTTTCGACGAAACTCCTGCGGTGTGGCCGAAGCCAGTGATGACAATTACTATTGTAAATACATAGTTAGCCGCATGTGTAAAAAGACGTTAGTCGATACCATCTGATCGATATTAGATTCATTCGAGCTGCAATCAGGATTAGCCGTCGAAGATATTAGTTTCATTGTTATTGTTATGGTTTGTTGATACGTTTTGGTGAGGTTGTTTTGTTAGTGTCACTTAGAGCCCCCCGCGGGGCTAGTTCGAGGCGCGGTGCGCCAGCTGCGCCGCTTGTCGACCAAGCGTCGACAGTCCACGTCCGCCGGCGCACCTCGTCGCTCCCTCTCGCTTGTTCGTATACGCGTTAGTTGATTTACTTCAGTCACCATTTTAGAAATGTGTTCTATATCAGAATAAAGACTATACGTAATAATAAGCGAGATCTCAAATTTATTTTAAAAATTCGTTATGTGATCCTAATATTGCGACTTATCGTATATATAAAATTAAAAAGATAATTTATTATATTTTGTATAGTGACATTCTACATTAATTTACACTCGATCTACTTTATATTGTTATTAAAGATAATAATTAATTTTAATCTAATAACGTGACAGACTGGTAAAGTTCGTAGAGTCGCCGTGGCGGCCTTAGATCATGTAGCTTTGCATATTCGGCGATGGCCAACTTAATGTTTCAAGGACCAAAGGTATACTTATTCGCGTAGAACCGGACGCGCATTGGCTCCGCACGAACCGACCCAGCCGATCGGTTGATCATTGCAGCATCAGAGCGTGTCTATGAGTATAACTATGAGAATACGACAGTGGGCCGAGGTGACCGCGGCTGACCTCCGCTCCGCTCCACCGCATGCTTTATTTATCATCCCAATACATTTAATGTAAAACTTCGAGCCGGTGGACGGCGACCATCGGCATCGCCGCGGCCGCCGGCGCTCGCGCATCAACCCCGCCCCCAGTGTCCCCCGCGCATGCCGCCCGCTTGGTTTCGTTCTCGCGGTTACTTCTCGATTGCGTGCTTCGCGTGCTGACTGATTTTCTATAGCAATAAAAATCAATTACCTAAGATTTTACATTAAAATAAATTTGGATTTATATACGTTCGAATTTGGTGTCATGTACATTTAAAATATTAGAGAAAGGAGATAACGATAGGCGAACGATCCGCGACGACCAGTCGCGGTGTCGGCGCATTATTTTCGTCATTTCTTCGTGTATAATATGTTACATGAATCTGTATACAATATGGATAAATCGTAATAATGAATAAATTAGTTTTTACGGCATCTCTTTATTAAAATAATGATAATATCAAAAACGTTTTGTAAAAAGCGGTGGGTATGTCCGCCGCCCCGATTCTGTGCACCTGTGCACTTTAACTTATTGGAATATTACATTATATAACGTACATAATACTATGAGATATATAATCATACAGCCTCTCGGGGCGCGCGTGTATGGCGATGTATGTATACACATTGTGCAATGTACATATACCTATTATAATACAATGATTTAAGACAAGGTTCACATCGTGCCGTGTGTATGTGGTAATAAATATAATATGGACATTGTTCAAACAATAGATCAGTTGTTTTATTTATTACAATACCTATCCCATAGTTATAATTAGATAGATTTTATAGAAAATATCCAAATATAGAGACTTACACAAATTTTGCAGCATCAACAAAATTATCCATCTGCCCACAAAGCAAGTACAACAACACATCATGATTATAATATGACTGCAGCTTAGACGATATTCATCAGACTTGAAAATCGAAAAATTACGGGCTTGTATTAAGGATGTGTAGTCTTTATATTTATTGTACCATGTCTTACAAGAAATATTCTATCATATGCAAGAAAGATAGTTATACTATAATATACAAGATATAAATATATTATACCCGAAATGGGAATACTTCACATACACTTTGTCAGTACTGATATTACAGGAAAGAAAATAAGTAACACGAAAGTCGAATTATTTACGTATTTAATTCTGAACGCATTTTATAAAAAAAACCAATGAACTTGGCCCATACCTAGAGAAAAATTGCCATAACCGGCAGACGTTTTATGGTAGCAATTCAAGAAGACGCTGTTTACTGTTTATGACAATAACCATCATCACAAACGATATACATTCCACTGCTGGGCACGGATCTCTTCAAAAGGGATGGGCCACAAGCTAGCCCGGTTGTGTTTGAGGATTCAGAAATGTTGTATTGTTACATAAACCTTATCCGATATACACAACATTATGATGTTTTCCTCTAGTATTTAAAACAGCAATTCATTAACTTTTTATGTGAAAAAATCCTGGCTCAATAGTAAATATCTGAGCTCAATATAAAAAGTTCCCAAAATTCACGCAAAAAGTAATTTTGATAGAAAACACAGATTGGTAATTAAAAATTATTAGTATAATTTATTTTATTGGTCTACGTAGTACATGATATATTGTTAAGTCTCGTAAAGAATGTCGGGAAATGGCCTCCAAGGCTATGCTGGCACATTTGCATTATTTCCATGAAATTTTCGATTATCGTTTTGCATAACTGTGGTTGAATTTCGTTGATACAGCGCTCAAGTTCCTCCTTCAAGGCGTAGGTGGTCATGGGCTTGTTTGAATAAACCTCAGATTTCACAAAACCCCGAAGAAAAATGTGGATGACATGAAGTTTCAACAAGTCGGTGACCTGTGCTATGCAGCAAGAGAAACAATGCAATTACTCCACGAGTCCATTTCCAGGTCGTGTAATTTCCCATTTTGGTAATCAGAATTGGCCGCCCAAATCATGCAATTTAACGCCATTGGACTTTTTTCTTTGAGGTTTACGCCAACAAGCTCACGACTATGAAGGAGGAAATTGAACGCTGGATCAACGAGATTCAGCCATTTTTCATCGAAAGATTCCAAATGTGCCAGCAAAGCCGTAGAGGCCCTGCCCAACATGCTTTATACTACGTACTTCATGGATCAATAAAAAATGACAATTTTTTATTATAAATCTATGTTTTCTATCAAAATTATTCCTTGCGTGAATTCTGGGACACCCTTTAGATATAATAGGTCGATATATGCGGACCTAACTAAAAAGTCAATATCAATCACAATACAAAATGAACGTCTAAAAATAAAGGACGAGAAATGAACCTCAAAGTCAGTTTGTATTTGAAAAAAAAAACAATATTTATTGAAATCGGGTTTCAAGCCCGAAGCCATGTGCTCCGAGCTTAAAAAGGCAATTTCGCTTAACGTTCGTTCTGCAGGGTATTTGAACACACGTAGCGACTGGAACGAAACTGTAGTGTATACCTGGAATTCTGGGAGACGTGCCTGCATAAAGTAGAATGTTTTGGTTTATATTTTCGGATTTAAATTTAAAGTTGGTCTTTTTAAAGAATTATGACCTAGTTTAACATCAATTAGAGGATCTAACCTAGCCGATCTTTTGGTTCTGAGAGCCTTCTTACGCATTCAATAGAAAGGTGTAAAGGGATTCCAGCTTTTAGCTTTGAAATTTGTATTTATTTAATGATCAAATAAATAATTAAAGATCAAATTGGCTTACAACGTCATTCACTATTGATGCAATAACGAAGTCATACCAAAATTACGGTCAGTGTGGCTCACTGGTTAAGGTTGAGTTTGTTTAACTCTTTTTTTTCACACAGATCTACTCAAAACCAAGTAGACCGTCAGAGGATCAGATTTCTTAGAGCATCGACTGTACATAACAACAGTTTAAAAATGTGACAACTCGTAAAGCTAATCTTCAGCTGAGTGTTTTGAAAAGATTAAAAAATATCAGGCCGCTGCCGAAGATTGCACCGTTCGATGGAATAATCATATCAATGAAAGCCTTTCTTCCGACAGTAAGTGAAAGTCACCTTACCTTTAATACAGGACTTTATACGATACGTGACTCTATTTGAGAGCAGCTCTATTTAACACCGAGGCTCCTACGTCCTCGGCTCGAATGGTCCAATTTGTAAGGATTGTGCTTATTATACGTATATTACTAGAATTAATGTCATGTGTGCATTGGGGTGAACAGGAACAATTTAATACTTTTCATGGGGTTTTTTGTAAAATACTAACAACCTCACACTTACTGAGATCATAAAGAATAACTTTAGTCCCATGCTTTTAATAATTCATTAGGTTTCACTTTCGTACAAAAATAAAAATATATTAATAAATCGCTCTAAACGGTGATACCTCTATGCGGTAGCAAAAGAAAGCATCCACCACTAACATTTTTTTTTATGAATGACAGCACGCGGGAGGCATTGATAAACAACTTCCTACGAAATACAGACCTAAAAAGTGTCAGTTAATATAACTGAAACAAAAACTTATCAGTTTATTTTTGTTAAATGATGTATGTAAAAGGTAATGGAACTAAAGTTGTTGTTTATGATGTTAATAATATGGACCTGGGAGGTTTTGAGTATTTTACAAATAACTCTGAAAATAGTAATTACTTCTTCTTCAAGTGCCTCTCCATTATTGAAGGTCGGCAGTCAGTTTTCTATATCTTTCTTTGTCCAGAGCTAACCTAAACGATTGTTCCACGGTCTTGATGCCGGTCCACTCCCTGACGTTACAAAGTCATGACATTTTCCTTCTTCCAACATTTCGCTTCATAGCTACTTTGCCCATCATTATAATATGCAACAGATGATATCTGTTATGTCGCAATAAATGACCCTAATAGACAACCATCCGCTGCTAGACAGCGCGTACTAACTCCACCTTCTTCGCCATACGTTTAAGGACGTCGACATTCGTGACTTTGTCCGTCCAACTGATGTGGAGCATTCTACGATAGCACCACATTTCGAGCGCTTCAAGTTTCTTCTTGAGGTCTTGTTTTATGGTCCATGATTCGCATCTATAAAGAACGACTGGCCAAATATAGCACTGCAAGAGCCTAGTGCGGAGTTTAATAGATAGTTGCCAGCTATATAGTAATCACGAATTTACATAAATCTAAAAAGACGAGTTATTAATTTTTATTTGCAAATGTTCACGCCGACGCCGAGGGTAGACGGCGCTTAGGTGAAGTTCACCTATTCTGATTTCCTTTAACATTTATATTGCTATCCCTTTTATCATGCTGCAACTGAAGTACTGTTCGTGGTTGGGTAACGTGAGTCCGCCTTGGATCACCCATCGACTTTCGTTTACCTATGTGGATTAACCGCCATATTTAAAGACTTAACGCAATCTGCGTAGTCCTATTTCGCCGTGTTGGAAATACCGCTTGTGTTTTACTGTGTTATTGTACTGTACTTAAACACTGTTCGGCGATAAATCAAGTTAGTTCCACCGCATTTGTCGGAGACCC